ATATATATATATATTATACATATATATATTCGGGCATTTTCCACTCACCATCATTGCATAGGTTGGCGTTCCTGCGGTTCGCAACGCTTCTTAAGCACCAGAAAAAAAAACACTCCGTTAAAATCCTGTACCCGCTCCATGTCTTATTTAACTGACTTATAGTGGTTTCCGTAGTTCAGTAACGTACTGATTGTGTTGTTATACGAATGACTCTATGGTCGAGCCGTAGCGAGCGCAGTGGATCTATTATCCTTATAGCGGTGTAGTACCCTGCCATGTTTGCTAGCACCCACCACCAACCACCCACCCATTCACGTACTCCCCAACCTCCCACGCACCGACACACCCACCGCCCTACCCACCCACCGACCTACCGGCCTGTGTGTGTGTGTGTGTGTGTGTGTGTGTGTGTGTGTGTGTGTGTGTGTGTGTGTGTACGTGTGTGTGTGCGTGTGCGCGTGTGTGTGTGCGTGTGCGCGTGCGTGTACGTGCGTGTGTGCGCGTGTGTGCGCTCGTCTACGCGTGAACGATTATGGGATGGATTGGATGGGGTGGGTGGTTGACAGTAGAGGCGGGAGCTGCAGCTAGGGTTGGATGCCCCTCACATAACAGCTACAGCTGCATAAACACGCGTACAGCGGGCGACGAAGCAACGTGTCCAACATCACCGCAGCCGCCGCTAAAAACAACCAACCAACAAAGCTAGCTAGCGAAAAAAATGTCGCACTGGCTGAAAGAAGTTTAAAAAGCTGTATGAGCGTAGTTGTGTTCTATGGGTGTGTGGGTCGGACGCGTGGGGTGCCCGGTGGATCATGAAGGTCTGTGTCAAAGACAGTGTTATAGTGAGGATACGCGTGCGCGTACGTGCGTGTGCGTACGTGTGTGAGTGTGTGTGTGTGTGTGTGTGTGTGTGTGTGTGTGTGTGTGTGTGTGTGTGTGTGTGCGTGCGTGTGTGTGCGTGTTTAGAGTGCGTGCGTGCGCGCACGCGCGTGAGCGTGTGTGTGTGTGTGTGCGTGCGTGTGTGTGCGTGGGTGTGCGTGTGCGCGTGTGCGCGTGTGCGTGTGCGCGTGTGCGTGCGTGCGTGCGTGCGTGTGTGTGTGAGTGTGTGCTCGCCACCATCGTGTGTTTACGAGCAATGTTGTAACAGAATCTAAAGAAGTTAAATCGAATCCATCTTCCGCATCGCGCCGACAGCAGCAGCGAGTCTGCTAATGTCAAGTCTCTCCTGTACGATACGCAAACGTATATACAAGCTACTTCTCTCTCTCCCCCTCCCCGTCTAGTCTCTGTCTGCTGTGTCCTGATCTCTGTCTGCTCTCTCTCTCTCTCTCTCTCTCTCTCTCTCTCTTCTCATCTCCTCTCTCTTTTTCTCTCTCTTTTTTCTCTGTCTTTCTTGCCCTTCTTTCTCTCTCTCTCTCTCTCTCCCCCTCCCTCCCCATCTATCTCTTGTCTGCCTGTCTCTCTCTATCTATCTCTCTCTTCTCCTCTCTCTCCATCTCTCTCTCTCTCTCTCTTCTCCTCTGCTCTCGTCTGCTGTCTTGCTGCTCCCTCGCCAATCTATCTCTTTGTCCTGTTTGCTCTGTCTCTGTCTGCTCTCTCTCTCTCTCTTTCTCTTCTCTCTGTCTCTGTCTCTTCTCTGGTGCTCTGTCTCTGTCTCTGTCTCTGTCTCTGTCTCTGTCCTCTGTCTCTGTCTCTGTCTCTGTCTCTGTCTCGTCTCTGTCTGCTGTTCTCTGTCTCTGTCTCTGTGCTCTGTCTCTGTCTCTGTCTCTGTCTCTGTCTCTCTCTCTTCTCTCTCTCTCTCTCTCTCTCTCTCTGCATCTCTGTTCTGTCTCTATCTGACTGTTCGCTCTCTCTCTCTCTCTCTCTCTCTCTCTCTCTCTTCTCTCTCTCTCTCTCTCTCCTCTCTCTCTCTCTCTCGCTCTCCCTCTCTCTCTCTCCTCTCTCTCTCTCTCTCTCTCTCTCTCTCGCTTCCCCTCCTCCCTCGCTCCCCATCTATCTCTTTGTCTTTTTTTTTTTTTTTTTTTTTTTTTTTGTTTGTCTGTCTCTCTCTCTCTCTCTCTCTCTCTCTTCTCGTCTCTCTCTCTCCTCTCTCCTCTCTGCTCTGCTCTCCCTCCCTCCCTGCCCCATCTATCTCTTTGTCTATTTGTCTCTCTCTCTATCTCTCTCTTTCTCTCTCTCTCTCTCTCTGCTCTCTCTCTCTCTCTCTCTCTGCTCTCTCTCTCTCTCTCTCTCTACTCCCCAATCTATCTCTTTGTCTGTTGTCTGTCTCGCTCTCTCTCTTTCTCTCTGTCTCTTTCTCACTCCCTCCACTTTCTCCCGCGCTGCCTTCTTCCCTCCCTCCACAATATATTTTTTTATAATTAGCGAACACCGTCAGGAAGCTGATGGTTTACACCGACTGGTCTGCATATTTCATGCGAGCAGGGCAAAAACGTACTCCCCAGTGGAAAGAAGTTCGCAATGCTATTAAGGCGAAGCCCCCAAACACACACGCCACACACGCACGCACGCAGCACGCACGCCACGCACGCCCGACGCACGCACGCACGCACAGCACACACACACACACACACATACACAACGCCACATACATTACTCTAGAAGATGAACCAACACCGACGGGGGGTGGTTGTTGATGTAAGCGTGCGTCAGGTAGTAATGATTGCTGTCAGCCTCAGGTGAGGTGGGGGGGGGGGGGCAATTGTTTGGGCATATGTGCCTATTGCAAACACGATTGCTGATATATACTAGTAGCACTAGGGCAGCACGCCAACACTCGCCACGCACGCAGCGCAGCACGCCCGCCACCTACGAGCGCGCGCGCATACACTGCGGCGCACACACACACACACACACACGCGACGCGCCCACACACACACACACACCACACACCAACACACAACACACACACACACACACAGCACACACACACACACACACGCACACACACACACACACACACACACGCAACGCACGCGCGCACGCACGCACGCACGCACGCACGCACGCCACGGCACAGCACACACACATACACGATTATCTGTGAATAATAGTTATAGACTCTTGAGACACAGTTACGTGTGGCATGGTACCGCATGGGAAAGAATGAGTGCATATTACAGGACACGTGACAAGAATGTGGTGTCCTGTTACAAAACTGCTAGCATGAGTGGCATGATTACGGCACGGGAGGAGTGTGTACATGTTACAGCACTGCTAGAATGAGTGCATGTAGAGCCACGTGTAAAGAATGTGTGTATGTTACAGCACTGCTAGAGATGAGTGCATGTTAGCAGGCACGTGAAAGAATGTGTGTTATGGTACTGTTGTTAACAGCAGCTAACATTGATTGATGTTACCGGCACGCACGCGCACGCACGCACGCACGCTAACGCCAGCCGCAGCACGCACGCACGCACACACACACAACCACCACACAACACACACAACACCACACAGCCACAGCATCACACACACGAGGTCTAGGGCTAGGGTAGGTCTGTTGTCTGTTTGCTGGCCGGCTGTCTCTGCCCGACTGCTTCTGGCCTACATAATACAGCGATGCGCATTAACGCCCCCCGGACATCGCGTGTGTGGCATGCCGATACATACAGCTGCCTGTGTGTGCGTGTGCACTATGCCAGGCCGGCATGTGTGCTGTGTGTGTGTGTGTGTGTTGTGTGTGTGTGTGTGTGGTGTGTGTGTGTGGTATGTGTGTTGTGGTATGTGTCGTGTGGTGTGTGTGTGTGTCGTGTTTGATTGTGCGTGCGTGCGTGCGAGTGCGTGGCTGCGTGCGTGCGTTGCGTGCGTGTGTGTGTGTGTGCGTGTGCCACCCTGCGTCTGTGTGTGTGTGTGTGTGTGTGTGGTGTGTGTGTTTGTGTCGTGGCTG